GAGCAACTGGGTGCCCAAATATTTGTTTAAACATTATTCTGAGTGTTTCTCCAAGTATTTTTGGAGGAGATTAACATTTTTATCAACAGAGTAAATTGTCTATAATAGAGCAGATTGTCCTTCATAATATGGGTGGGCTTTATCCAGTTAGTTGAAGGCCTGAATAGAACATAAAGATCGGCCCTCCCCTGAGTAAGAGAAAAATTCTCCAGCAGACTGCTTTTGGGCTTTATCTGTACTACTGACTCCTAGGTGGCCTTCAGACTGAAATTGCATCAATGAGTTTCCTGGGTCTTTTTTTTTTTTTTTTTTTTTTTTTTGAGTCTGAGTCTTGCTGTCACCTGGGCTGGAGTGCAGTGGCACAATCTTGGCTTACCACAATCTCCACCTCTAGGGTTCAAGTGATTCTCCTGCCCCAGCCTTCCGAGTAGCTGGGATTACAGGCATGAGCCACCATGCCTGGCTAATTTTTGTGTTTTTAGTAGAGATGGAGTTTCACCATGTTGGCCAGGCTGGTCTTGAACTGCTGACCTCAGGTGATTGCCTGCCTAGACCTCCCAAATTGCTGGGATTACAGGTGTGAGCCACCATGCCCAGCTTCTTGGGTCTTGAGCCAGCTGGCTCACACTGCAAGTTTGGTCAGCCTTCATAATTACGTTTCAATCCCTTATAAGAAATCTCTTTCTCTCTCTGTATATATCCTAATAGTTCTGTTTCTGGGGAGAACACTGGCTAATCCAGGTCCAAAATAACCACTTGAAATGTTGGACAAAAATTAATCCCAGTGCAGTTAAATGAATTCCTAATTAGGGTCATCTGGTTAATGGCAAAACTATATTTGAAAAGAGAGGTGGGGAAACTTTCTAATTCATAGGAAATGATGTTGTAATATACTGCATGGTGCACTTGACGTGAATACCTTTAAGCATAGTTTCCATTGGAGCATGGTTCTGTGGATTATCGTTTAAGATAAACAGGAAAATTTCCAGGTAAAGAAAGCTATGTTAGCATAGTTTGTCATCATATTCCCAGCCTCATTTTCTTTGCCTTTAGAAAGCCTGATAATTGTAATTTGTCCCTCTCATTCAGTGTCTAATTACCTTTTCTTTCCATAAAGTCTGTTAAAAATATGATGTAACATTGCCTTATATTTATTTTGGGTCTCTATAATTCTTTTTCCATTTTTTTAATCCACCTGGAATAAACTGCACATATTTAAAGTGTACAGCGCGCTGAGTTTTGACGTACATATACACTTGTAATACCATTAATGAAATCAAGATAATGAAGATATACATTACTCCCTAAGCGATTATCAAGGGATTATCTGCTTGGTAATCTTTTCTTCCTACACTTTCTCCATCCTTAGGCTACTGTGATCTTGTTTATGCCACTATCTATTAGTTTGAATTTTATATAAATATAATCATATATTATGTACTCTATGTGGCTTTTTATTCAGCGTAATTATTGTATAATTCATTTTTGTTGTATGTATCATTTCATTGTTTATATTGCTTAATAGCATTCCATTGTTTGCATATTCTACAGTTTGTTTATCTGGGCATCTGCAAATAACTGTTTGGGTTGTTTTCTATTTTTGGCTGTTACAAATGAAATGGTTATGAACATTCATATACAAGTCTTTGTGTGGACACATGCTTTCTTTTTTTTGGGATAATTTCCTAGGAGTGGAATGTCTCAATTCTATGGTAGGTGTATTTTAAACTTTAATAAACCAAAATGTTTTCCAAAATGGCTCTAGTATTTACATTCCTACCAGTAGTTTATGAGAAATCTTGCTTCTTGTCTTGAAAAAGACCACTTGGTATGGGTGGTCTTTTAAATCTTTGCTATTCTAATAGTTAAGTAGGGATATCTCATTGTGGTTTTAATTTGCATTGACTATGACTAATGATGTGGAACACCTTTTCATTTGCTTATTTGTCATCTTTGGTGAAGTGTACATTTGTATCTTTTGCTCACAATTTTATATTGTTTTGTTTTCTTGTTAATGAGTCTGAGAATTCTTTACATGTTCTGGAAACAAGTCCTTAATTACATATGTGATTTGCAAATATTTTCTCCTACTCTGTCTTTTTTTTGTTTCCATTTATTTTATTGCATTTTAGGTTTTGGGGTACATGTGAAGAACACGCAAGATTGTTGCATAGGTACACACGTGGCGGTGTGATTTGCTGCCTTCCTCCCCATCACCTACATCTGGCATCTCTCCCCTTGTACTCTGTCTTTTTATCCTCTATGCAGTCTCTCGAGATGTACAGAATTTCTTATTTTTGATGAAATTCAGTTAATCAATTTAAAAAGTCATATACATGATTTTAAAAATAAAAAATCTACCAAATTAGTTAGCTCATTTTACTTTTATGCATGAAGGGTAGGAAGAGATAAAATTTTAAAGCCTTTCTGGTTAGCAAAGCCATATTTATAAAAAAGTAGTTATTTTTATCTTCAGAAATAGAAACGTCATTAAAATTGTCTTACCTAGGCAATCTCTTTTGAATCTACACAACCAATTAAAAACCAGAGTGTTTTAGATACAGGTTAGAATCACAGGTCATGGTAAGATTCTTTGAATCTAGATGGCTTGAGAAACAAATAACATTTGTTAAGAACTGTTATATCATAGAAAATAGAACAGGATGATTTACAGTTATAACTTTATACACAGCTTCTATACTAGACATGATATTGTGAGTGCTTTCAGCCCTGTATCTTACCAGGACAAGCCTTCTTACTCATAATGTTCTACACTGTGCAGCTGCAGAGGAGACAGCAGGAACATCTCTTGTCGTCTTTCTGAGACTCCTTTCCCAATTCCTAATTAGCAATTCCTCCGGTTGCTAATTAGGAGGACCTGTGTTCTCAAAGTTAAGCCAGAAATTCCATTAGTTACCAGTTCCTTGGAAAAAAGAGCATTAAATATTTACAACATGAAATAAAAAAAGAGAAAATATATTTTAACAAATCAAATGTGGATAATGTTTTATTTTAAAAACATGTTTATATGCATATACAGTAATATAATACGTACACATGTACACACATATACATAAATACGTGCATATGCAGTTGTTAGCAGAGGTTGCTCTATCTTTTGAGATTTAAATAAAATTGCGTCAAGCTGTTTATCAAATACGCTTTGGAAGTTTCTTGAAAAAATGTTATGGTTACTTTTTAGAGTTCCTATGCTGCTAAACTCTTACCTCCTTTGAATGTTCTCTGTTCTTTGCTTCAGGCCTATTCAGAGTTGTAATGTAGCTCCTTTGTTACAGTTTACCTCCTATCACTCTGACAAAGCCCTTGTATATGTAGACTTTAGTGTATGTCAGAGTAGTCAAGTGATGAGGGGAGGGTTCTAACAAGGTGAACTATTCAAAATTGAATGTTTAGTAACCCTGTTCTTTCTCCACATGCTACCAGTTCTTGTTTGTTGCCATATGCTCTTTTTCTCTACATGTCTGTTTCTTCTACCAATTTCTTATTTTCTTTTCTTTTGCTTCTTAACTTGCCAGTATTTCCAAATTCAGGAGGATACTATTGGTTTTGATTCTCTTTATATACCCTTCTTATCTAAGGAATTTTTCTAAACACAGGCAGAAATCTTAATGTCAATCGATTAAAAAACAGTAAAAAAAAAAAGTTTACTCCTGCTACATAAACGTGTGTGAATGTACATGTTACACAAAAAATGGTGCCATACTTACACATATTATTCAGTAACTTGCTTTTTATTTTTATACTATGTCATGGATATTTTTCTATGTCACTCTAGTACGTAAGTATAATAATATACTTAGCTATTCTTTTTATTAGACAGTGAGGATGTTATTGGTATATTTTAGTGAATATCTTTGAACACATTAGCTGTTTGAACGTGTGGGTGTTTTTATTAGATTTCTAGAAGTGAATTTTGGGTTAAAAGGTGTGTGTATTTTATATCTTGAAGGATACTGCCAGATCAATGTCCACTAACAGTCTGTGAGAGCGTCTGTGGTCTCAATCTTGACAGCCCTGGATCTGGATTATCACTGTAATTTTTGTGAAGTGGTATCTGATTATTGTTTTAAATGTCTTTCTAATTGAATCACCAATCTTGGTGTAACCCTAAATTTAGTACAGACACTATAGTGTGCATTAAAAATGTTGGTTATTATTCTAAATAAGGAAATACAGAGTTTGTAAGCCTCTATCCTTTTGACATAATTTCATACTAATGTATATGTAAAATTCTCTAATATGAATGCCGTGTTTCTAGAGATAACAGTTATTTCTGTTTAACTTTTATTTCATTTGATTGAATTTAAAATATATGTAAGTAGATAAGATTATGATGATGATAAAGATGGTAGAGATTTTATTATTTCCCTTTTGTTGTTCCTCTTAACTGTTTTGCATTTCCAGGAAATTCAATTTTATTTTTAATGGGATTTCATCTTCATAATGACAGAACATGATGTTTGTGATACTCAGTGAGCTTTTAAAGAACATATGTGGGTGGTAAGAATCTGCTTAACATAGTTAGCTAGAGATTTGGAGATCCTAATATTCTCTTGAAAATTCTGCTTGGCTTTTGGAGACAAGATCATACTTGTATTAGTAGTTTGAAGCCAGCTTCAAGTATAATTGAATTTTCACTGTGTGGAATTGGAATCTTTTCAACTCTTTAACACTGATTAATATTCCCACTAGATTATAGTTTTCTGATATTTCAAGAAAAACAAAGCAAAAGTGGAACTATGTGAAGGAGGTTATTTATTACTCTTTAGTTAATAAGGTATACTTTCTCCATTTGTCGCTCATAATTTCTGTCCCTGTCTTTTTAGACAAATATTATCAATATTTTTTATACTTACAAAAACACATTGATAATGCTTAACATTTGTGTAGCAGTTTATAGTTTTCACAGCTGTTTAATGTTTGTCTTATTTCCCAGAAAAACCTTGTAGGCAATATTTTTGTCATGGTTAGAGGCATACTGACTTAGGGTTTTTTTTTTTTTTACCATTTTAGCACAATGAGTATTAATAAATGAATTTTTGTTGAAAAATGTGGAATTTTAGGATGTATTATTTTCACTAGGACTGTAATTTTAAATATTCTTTTAATGACTAAGTTAAAAACATAGAAATTTTTTACTACTAAAATCTGGTTTTAATTATGATGTGATACAACATAGCCATAGCCAAAGAATGTAATATAATGTCAGATATTTTTAAAAGATCATGTAGTAATACAAAACTATTTATGTGGCATAAAAGGATATTAACAACATTGTATGTTTCATAAGCTTAGAGCATCTGGTCCTTTGATATAATTAACAGCTTTGCATATAGTCCACATCTCAAGTCCATATGGCAACCATTTGTGTATACATGGTAGAAGATATCTCAAAAATTGCTATATGAGTAGTTATTAAGATGATTACCATAGAGAGTAACAGGCTTACTTTTTCCAAATGGGTGTTTGCAGGGGTGATTGTGATTGAAAAAAATTTTTTTCTTGTTTTTACTGTTTACATTGAAATGTTTAAAAACATACATATTTTCTAAGTATAAAGAAACCCCATTGAGATAATTGTGTTGAAGAATAATTATGATAAATGTGTGGATATAACTAAATTTAACTGTAAAGATTCCGTTATCTGAAAATGTAATCATTTGATTTACAGAAATCTGGGTACTCTTACCAGTTTGTGATATATTATTTGATGCATTTTAAAGTATAAACAGATTATGGTTGTTATATATTCATGTGCATCGTAACTTTAGCTATACATTCCCACAGATGCATCAACTTATATTTTACTCATTCTATACATATTTATTGAGTTTCTGCTATGTTTCAGGTACTATTTAACACAATGGATTTTTTTTTTCTTTTTGGCTTTGAACATTTGATAATTGATATTTCAAGTAGCATGTTTGTAGCCTTCCACTATTCAGTACTTTATCAGTTTAAATAATTATATTTTCCTAACTTATTTTGTTTCTCAGGATCACTAGATATAGTGATATGTGTTGATATAAGGTGAGATAAGGGATTGTTATGTGATTATATAGACACATTATTATAATATGTTTAATGGTAAATTGTTCAAAATACTTAATAAAAAAGTAATTAAGTATGAGTTATTAAAAAGAATTGGAGGTTATAGTCAATCACCTGATTTAATTATGAGTTTAGCTTGGGTTAAAAATAAACATTTCTGAGCTGCATGCAGTGGCTTGTGCCTGAAATCCCAGCTACTTGAGAGGCTGAGGCGAGAGGATCGCTAGGGCCCAGCCTGAGCAACATAGTGAGACCACCATTTCTTAAAATAATAATAATAATAATATAATAATTCCCAATTAAGTCATTTTAATCTTTTGATAATCTGAGGAAATAATCAACTTTATGGATAGTTAGGACACATTATTTTAATTTCTATTGACAGGTCTCAGATTTAACCTGCAGCCCATGGTAACACTTACTAGATACTTTTTTTTTTTTTGAGACGAAGTTTTGCTCTTGTTGCTCAGGCGTGATCTTGGCTCACTGCAGCCTCCACCTCCTGGGTTCAAGCAGTTCTCTGCCTTAGCCTGCTGAGTAGCTGGGATTACAGATGCTGGCCACCATGCCCAGCTAATTATTTTTGTATTTTTAGTAGAGGCGGAGTTTCACCATTTTGGCCAGGCTGGCCTCAAACTCCTAAACCTCAAGTGATCTGCCCACCTCGGCCTGCCAAAGTACTGGGATTACATGCATGAGCCACTGCGCCCTGCCACTAGATACTTTCATAGCTGGATACAAAGTGTCTTTTTCCTTTAGGCCCATATGGTATACTCTAATACATTGTGTACTAATATGTGGCATTTTCTTAAACTACATGAAAGTTGTGACTTAGGCAAGATAGCAAGCTTTAGAAAAAGAATCATCAGAGAGGCATTCTGGTATCTGTTTTAATTTGATTCTAAGTAGAGAAGATCAAATTTTTGAAAATGATACTGATTAGAGATTGTGAAACTGTATTGTCTGGTTTTCCTCAAATTTGATCGTTTCAGTGTTCCTTCATTGTTTTTATTATGTTTGCTCAATCCCTGGATTGTCAGGCATACTGATTGTGTAATGTAAATACTTATGTGTGTTTGGAATTCTTCCTGCCCCGTTTTTTTACTATTTAGAATATTGTCATGTAAAGGGAAATCATAGGGTGTTGATTTTCTTGTGACTACCAAAAAATACAGGTAAAATATCTTAGATAAAATATATAACCTGAATGGTATTAAAAGTTCTAAAAATCTTTAAGTAATTATAAATGTAATTATATTTATATATTTTGTAATATAGTTGAATCTTTGGAGAATGTAAAAATATATGTGAATACATAAATATTTGGGCAGCGATAATTATTCTGATAATTATCACCGAGTACCTCCACTAAAAGTATAGCAGGAAAGCTGATTTTGAGTCGTTTTTTTTCATCACTGGTTTTGGATTAATCTATTAACCCTGTCATCCAGTCTATCTTAAAACAAAATACTTTATCAGGATTATGACTGTAGTTTTAGATAAATGAAAGTTTTTTTTCTATAAAATGAGTGCTCCTTTATTCAGCTGACTGCCACAAGTTTACCCTTGTTTTCTTCATTCCTGTACCATCTCTGTTAAGTTGCCTGTAGTTTTCTAGCATTATTGTCTTTACTTCTACTGATTTAGAGATGTTTATATGACAAGTAGCTTTTTTGATATAGTACTTGCACTTAATGTAATTAAGGGAAAAAGTTTCCAGAAATATTAAGCTAGCAAGTTATTAACACCATTCATATTAACACTATCTGTAATAGCCCCAATTCCCTCAATAACAAAATGAACAAATGGTGGTATATGCAATGGAATGCCCTGTAGTAGTTAAAACTAAACCACGCATAGCAACATGAATGAATTACATAAACATAATGTTGGTGAAAGAAGCCAGACATAAAGAAGTATGTCTCGGTCAGATGTGGTGGCTCCTGCCTGTAATCCTAGCATTTTGGGAGGCCAAGGTGGGCAGATCACTTGAGGTCAGGAGTTTGAGACCAGTCTGGCCAACATGATGAAATCCCCTCTCTACCAAAAATATAAAAAATTAGTCAGGTGTGGTGATGTGCGCCTGTGATCCCAGCTACTAGGGGGGATGAGGTGGGAGAATTGCTCGAACCCAGGAGGTGGAGGTTGCAGTGAGCCGAGATCGCACAGCTGTACTCCAGCCCAGGCAAACAGAGTGAGACTTCGTCTCAAAAAAAAAAAATGAACAAAAAAGAAAAGAAGTATGTCTTATATGATTCAATGATTCAATTTATATAAAATTTAAAACTGACAAAACTATGGTTTTAGATGTCAAGGTAGTGGTTTCTTTTGTAGGGAGGGCACAATGACAGGAATGGAGTATGAGGAGGTCTGTGGATTCTGGTTATATTCTGTTTCTTGACTTGGTTACTAGTTACACAAGTGCGTTCATTTTGTGGATTCATGGAGCTGTACAGTTATGATTTGGGCACTTCTCTAGATATATTTGACTTCCAGTAAAAGGTTATATATACAGTCAGTGCTTGTTATTTTTGATAGTTAAGTTCTAGAAAGTTGCTGTCAATACTGAACCATTGTCCCTAGGAGAAATACAGGATTAGGTTCCTGCCAGCCTTTGATCACATTTTAGTTAACCAAGCAATACAACATGGCCTTGTTTTATGTGTGTTACTGTTTACATACACCTTATTTTGTAAATATCCTGGATTCATTAACATTGAACCATGCCCAGCAGCACTGTAACTCCTGCCGGAATTAAGCTTATCTGACACATGTTTTTTTCATGAGACACATCACAGTTTTCTTGAGCTCAGGAACACCAGACAGCACTTCAGTGCTACAAGTTGGGGGTTACGTAGTGTCATGTAGTGAAATCGTCAGCAAAAAGCACAACAGAGCAAAATGTGGCACTAAGTAGACTGTGAAAAGGACATGTGTTTACAGTATGAAAACTGAAACAAGGTGGAGCATCACTTGAGTTCTACCTGAGCTGAGAATGTATACATTGGGCAGCTATAGTTTTTGCTGTTCTGTGCTTCTACATGTTGGGATTATACATAAATTCTAGTAAGCAGGTGATTTCCCAGATGCAGAATTGGCAAATAATATGTAAATATATACCTGCTAGTACCTCAGTAAATATTTACTTCTAAATCAAGTGTGCAAGTGGGCTAAGGATAACTTTTTTCCTCTTAAACTAAATGTTTTTAATAACAATTTTTGTGATTAAAATTAGAGCAGTTCTAGAGTGATTTTGTAAATTTTTTGTATCATACTATAGGTTTTTATAACTAATTTTTGATGCCAAGCTTTGGGATGGAGTCTCTTACTTTGTTGCCCAGGCTGGAGTGTAGTGGTGTAATCTCAGCTCACTGCAACCTCCGCCTCCCAGGTTCAAATGATTCTGCTGCCTCAGCCTCCTGAGTTGTTGGGATTATAGACGCCTACCACCATGCCCGGCTAGATTTTTTAATTTTTAATTTTTAAAAAATATTTTTAGTGGAGACATGATTTCACCATGTTGGTCAGGCTGGTCTCGAACTCCTGACCTTAAGAGATCCGCCTACCCTGGTCTCCCAGTGTTGGGATTACAGACGTGAGCCACTGCGCCCGGCCATAAAATTTGTCTTCTCATTCTTTGCTAATCAGGGATTCATTGTAATGTACATTAGTTTTTTTGTTTTGCTCAGTAGCAACTGACCATTAAATGATTATATATCAAGTGATGCAATATAGTTTCTTCAGGATAAAATTATATCATGTTTCACCTAGAAGACATCATCTGTACCAATATAAAAGACTGGGATTAAGATTTTTTTGCTGGGCACGGTGGCTTGTGCCTGAAATCCCAGCACTTTGGGAGGCGAGGGCAGGTGGATCACTTGAATCCAGGGATTCAAGACCAACCTGGGCAACATGGCAAAATCCCATTTCTACTAAAAGTTTAAAAAATTAGCCAAGCATGGTGGTACATGCATGTGGTCCCAGCTACTTGGGAAACTGAGGTGAGAGGTTCACCGAAGCTCAGGAAGTCAAGGCTGCAGTGAGCCATGATTGTGACATCACTCCAGCCTGGGTATGGGAGTGAGACCCTGTCACAAAAAAAAAAAAAAAAAAAAAAAAAAAAGGATTTAATTTTCAAATATTAATTTTACTCTGAGGTCATATGCAGTGGTACATATTTCAAAAATAATATTTTATAATACATTTGTTTTACACAAAGTTTCCTTTGAATTACTTTTAATTTCATTTTCCGACAGAAACAGGATATACACCATTTCAGATCAGGCCAGGCCAGTGGTTTGTGTGGTCTGTATTGTTTTTAACAATGATGTGTAGCAATTGTCGCTGTTATCTATTGCTGCATGTGCACACAACAATTATCATAGCAGGTCTGAGGCTACTCTTCTTAGAAACATGCTTAGAAGGATGACCTTTATCTGGCATCTGAGAATGTGAATGGTAAAATTCCTGCACTGATACAAAGCTTTCTGTAAGTGATAGGATTGGTTCACTGTGCCTAAACTGTTTGTGCAAAGAATGATGTATTTGAACAGCAGTCTTCCGGAGTCTGAAATTTTGATACATGCCAGTCAAAGGGTGCCTAGGTGACCAACCTCCAATAAACCTCAAATTAGAGACACTATGTCTCTAATGAGCTTCTTAATGAGTAGTAACATTTCACACATGGTGCAATTCAATACTAGAAGTCAATCATAATTATTTATACTCAGTAATCATGTTTATTTTTAGTATTAACAGCAATAAATATATTCGTGGGACATTACTGCATATGAGAAAATAATTTTATATGAATTATGTAATTTCATTCCTTAAATTGTAAGGTGGTTTGAATAAGTATTATTATTATATTTTTTAATATATATTTTATTGCACTTTAGGTTCTGGGGTACATGTGAAGAACATGAAGATTGTTGTATAGGTACATACATGGCAATGTGGTTTGCTGCCTCCATCACCATCACTTATATCTGGCATTTTTCCCCATATTATCCCTCCCCAACTCCCTACCCACTGCAGTCCCTCCCCTAGTCACCCTCAACAGACCCCAGTGTGTGATGCTCCCCTCCCTGTGTCCATGTGTTATCATTGTTCAACACCCACCTATGAGTGAGAACATGCGGTATTTGATTTTCCGTTCTTGTGTCAGTTTGCTGAGAATGATGGTTTCCAAGTTCATCCATGTCCCTACAAAGGACACGAACTCATTATTTTTTATGGCTGCATAGTATTCCATGGTGTATATGTGCCACATTTTCCCTGTCCAGTCTATTGTCGATGGGTTGGTTCTAGGTCTGTGCTGTTGTAAACAGTGCTGCAAGGAACATTTGTGTGCATGTGTCCTTATAATAGAACGATTTATAATTCTTTGGATATAAATCCAGTAATGGGATTTCTGGGTCAAATGGAATTTCTATTTCTAGGTCCTTGGGGAATCACCACACTGTCTTCCACAATTGTTGAACTAATTTACACTCCCACCAACAGTATAAAAGTGTTCTTATTTCTCCACATCCTCTCCAGCATCTCTTGTCTACAGATTTTTTAATGATTGCCATTCTAACTGGCATGAGATGGTATCTCAATGTGGTTTTGATTTGCATTTCTCTAATGACCAGTGATGGTGAGCATTTTTTCATATGTTTCTTGGCCTCATATATGTCTTCTTTTGAAAAGTGTCTGTTCATGTCCTTTGCCCACTTTTGAATGGGTTTATTTTTTTCTTGTAAATCTGTTTTAGCTCTTTGTAGATTTTGGATATAAGTCCTATGTTAGATGGGTAGATTGCAAAAATTTTTTTCCATTCTGTTGGTTGCTGGTTCACTCTAATGACTGCTTCTTTTGCTTTGCAGAAGCTGTGGAGTTTAATTAGATCCCATTTGTCTATTTTGGCATTTGTTGCCAATGCTTTTGGTGTTTTGGTCATGAAGTCCTTGCCTATGCTTATGTCCTGAATGGTTTTGCCTAGGTTTTCTTCTAGGGTTTTTATGGTTTTAGGTCTTATGTTTAACTCTTTAATCCATCTGGAGTTAATTTCAGTGTAAGGTGTCAGAAAGATACCCAGTTTCTGCTTTCTGCACATAGCTAGCCAGTTTTCCCAACACCATTTATTAAACAGGGAATCCTTTCCCCATTGCTTGCTTTTGTCAGGTTTGTCAAAGATCATATGGTTGTAGATGTGTGGCATTGCCTGTGAAGGCTCTGTTCTGTTCCATTGGTCTATAGCTCTGTTTTGGTACTAGTACTATGCTGTTTTGATTACTGTACCCTTGTAGTATAGTTTGAAGTCAGGCAGTGTGATGCCTCCAGCTTTGTTCTTTTTGCTTAGAATTGTCTTGGCTATGTGGGCTCTCTTTTGGTTCCATATGAAGTTTAAGGTGATTTTTTCCAGTTATGTGAAGAGGGTCATAGGTAGCTTGATGGGGATAGCATCGAAACTATAAATTACTTTGGGCAATATGGCCATTTTCACAATATTGATTCTTCCTAACCATGAGCGTGGAATGTTTTTCTATCTGTTTGTGTCCTCTCTTATTTCCTTGAGCAGTGGTTTGTAGTTCTCCTTGAAGAGAGTAGTTCTCCTTGAAGCGGTCCTTTATCCTTTGTAAATTGTATTCCTAGGTATTTTATTCTCTTTGCAGCAATTGTGAAGGGCAGTTCGTTCTTGATTTGGCTCTCTTTAAATCTGTTATTGATGTATTGGAATGATGATTTCTGCATGTAGATTTTGTATCCTGAGACTTGGCTGAAGTTGCTTATCAGTTTCAGGAGATTTGGGGCTGAGATGATGGGGTCTTTTAAATATACAATCATGTTGTCTGCAAATAGAGACAATTTGACTTTCTCCTTTTCTAATTTAATACCCTTTATTTCTTTTTCTTGCCTGATTGCTCTGGCTAGAACTTCTAATACTATATTGAATAGGAGTGGTGAGAGAGGGCATCCTTCTCTAGTGCCAGATTTCAAAGGGAAAGTTTCCAGTTTTTGCCCATTCAGTATGATACTGGCTGTGGGTTTGTCATAAATAGCTTTTATTATTTTGAGATACATCTTGTTGATATCTAGTTTATTGAGCATTTTTAGCACAAAGGGCTATTGAATTTTGTCGAAGGCCTTCTCTGCATCTATTGAGATAATCGTGTGGTTTTTGTCTTTGGTTCTGTTTATGTGGTGAATTATGTTTATAGACTTGTGTATGTTGAACCAGCCTTGCGTCCCCGGGAGGAAACCTACCTGATGGTGATGGATAAGCTTTTTGATGTGCTGTTGCAATCAGTTTGCCAGTATTTTATTCAAGATTTTTGCGTCTATGTTCATCATGGAAATAGGTCTGAAGTTTTCTTTTCTTGTTGAGTCTCTGCTGGGTTTTGGTATCAGGCTGACGTTGGTCTCATAAAATGATTTCGGAAGGATTCCCTCTTTTTGTATTGTTTGGAATAGTTTTAGAAGGAGTGGTACCAGCTCCTTTTTGTATGTCTGGTATAATTCGGCTCTGAACCCATCTGGAGCTGGGTTTTTTTGGTTGGTAGGCTATTAATTGCTGCTTCAACTTCAGCCCTTCTTATTGGTCCATTCGGGGTTTTGACTTCTTCCTGGTTTAGGCTCTGGAGTGTGTAAGTGTTCAGGAATATATCCATTTCTTCCAGGTTTACTGGTTTATGTTCATAGAGTTGTTTATAGTAATCTCTGATGGTAGTTTGTATTTCCGTGGAATCTGTGGTGATATTCCCTTTATTGTTTTTTATTGCGTCTATTTGATTCTTCTCTGTTTTCTTTTTTGTTAATCTGGGTAGCAGTCTGTCTATTTTCTTGATCTTTTAAAAAAACTAGCTCCTTGATTTATTAATTTTTCGAAGGGTTTTTGTGTCTCTATCTCCTTCAGTTGTGCCCTCATCTTAGTTAATTCTTGTCTTCTGCTAGCTTTTGAGGTTTTTTGATCTTGCTCCTCTAGCTCTTTCAATTTTGATGTTAGGGTGTCGATTTTAGATCTTTCCTTGATTCTCATGTGGGTATTTATGGCTATAAATTTTCCTGTAGACACTGCTTTAAATGTGTCCCAGAGATTCTGGTACCTTGTGTCTTCATTCTCGTTGGTTTCAAAGAACATCTTTATGTCTGCCTTCATTTCATTGTTTATCCAGTCATCATTCAAGAGCCAGTTGTTCAGTTTCCATGATGTTGTGCGGTTCTGAGTTACCTTCTGAATTCTGAGTTCTAATCTGATTGCACTGTGGTCTGAGAGACTGTTTTGATTTCCGTTCTTTTGCATTTGCTGAGGAGTGATTTACTTCCAATTATGCGGCCAATTTTAGAGTAGGTGTGATGTGATGCTGAGAAGAATGTATATACCACATTTGCTTGGTTTATTCATGTATTTATGGAGACTTATGTTGATTCCACACGTCTACTGTTGTGAATTGTGTTGTGGTAAACACAGTAGTGTACATATGTCTTTGATATACTGATTTCCTTTCTTTTGAATATATACTCAACAGTGGTATTGCTAGATCTTATGGTCGTTCTATTTTTAGTTTTATCCTTTTCGTGTGTGTGTGTGTGTGTGTGTGTGTGTGTATGTGTGTGTGTGTGTGTATTTAAGAGATAGGGTCTTGGCTGGGCATGGTGGTTTATACCTGTAATTCCAGTACTTTAGCTGGAATTCCTCCCTGAAGTGGGAGGATTACTTGAGGCCAGGAGTTTGGGACTACTCTTGGTGACATAGAACCCATCTCTACAAAAAAAAAAAAAAAAAAAAAAATTAGCTGGGTGTGGTGTTGCGCTCCTGTAGTCATAGCTACTTGGGAGGCTGAGGTGGGAGAATCCTTTGAACCTAGGAGTTGGCAGTTACAGTGATCTATGATTGTGCCATTGTACTCCAACCTGGATGACAGGGCAAG